CTATTTGTCTATTACTGTATCCCAAGCATGGATAAAGCAAGACAACCTGTCCCCAACCTGAGCAGATAGAGACATGGAAGTCACAACAGGAATGCTACCCTGGATCTGAAAGTCAAAATGGCTGCTCGCTCATTGAAGGATGACCAGCTAGCTAGCTAAAATTAGACCCAGAGGGCCTATTTCTCCTCCACAATCCATGTCCTCTACTAGATAAATCCTGCCACATAACAGGGAAGAACCACTGACAGAAAAATAGCTGTGAGTGATATTGATGCTGTTACTACTGACCTCTATAATGCCGCCTCCTTGTGGCTGGAGTATTGTCAAGGACTCACAGGCCCTGTGCTCTCTCAGCTCCATACGGTCCCTCAGAGTAACCCTCTTCAGTGTGACAGCTTTCGATGAAGGTTGCTCCCTTTCTCTCTAGGGCTATGCCCTCTGGCCCTGCCACCTCCTGGAACTGTACCTCTGAGCCATCTGCACGCCTGTCTCTCGCCATGGGCTCCCTCAGGGAGTTCACTCGCCACACCCAGAAGCAGCAATGGAACCCTGATCTCTAGGCTGTAGTGACTCTCAGCCAGCTTAAAACACAAAGGTTTATTGAATGTCTGAACCCAGCACAGGAAGTTCTCAAGGCCCTCGGGTCCACCTTCTATCTGCGTCTGCCCCAGTCCCGATGGGCTCAGGCTGCTCCCTCAGTCCCCAGTCCAGCTGCCCCCTCCTTCCAGCCCATCATTGTATATCACCTTCCCCAGTAGCCTCTCCTCCGTCCTTTGGCTTCGATCCCAGGTAAAGAGGCCACCTGGGCCCTCTCTCGTCTTTTGTTCCCCCACTGGTCAGAACGGGTTGACTTCCAAGATGGGGTGGGCCTTCCGGTCACCAATTGCTAGGGTACCCAATTTCCAATACCTGGGGCTTTGACTGCTAAGCGAGGTCACACCGCCTCTGTAACAAACACACACCCTCTCCCACCACCTCGTTAAACATGCAGCACACAGGGAAATTGAGACACACACAGTATTCATGCATACCATTAAGAAAATTCCTTACTTCATCACAGGTAAAAACCCCCAACAAACAAATTAGCCCAAAAGTCCCGAAAAGAATGTAAAGTCTCATCAGTTTTCTACTGAAACAAAAGCCAATCATCAAAAGCTAAGTCTACTGTGCTCTGCTGAACATCAGGAGATCTTCTGGAATTTGCAACCATGAGGCCCTTCTCAGTCAGAGCTGATCCCATAGCTCTGGAAGAAGCATATGACACATCCAGGGCTGATTGCAGCAAAGCTTTGCCCACCAGATGACCTTCTGCAATGAAAGCCGTAAACTCTTAAGTGGGCACTTCTGGCAACTTATCTGTGAGTTTGAACATAGCGACACAACTGATGAAATCATATTTGGATAACAACACCTGCTGATTTGCAATGTGCAGTTGTAATCATGAAGATGTGTACATTTTTCTCCCCATCAAGTCCATCTTCTTAGATTCTTTGTCCCTGGTGGTGGACTTACATCTCCTCTGTCACGCTCTGTCGTTAATGCTGTTAGAATGAGAGACTGAACTGGATGGGAACAGAAGCACTAGAAGCCCTACAAAGGAACACAACACTGTTTCCAGAGAGCTTTGCTGTAGGTGGTAATGAAGCTGGGATATTCCACAAGGACTTGGCCGGCTCCAAGGGAGCTTCATTTATCAGGAAAGCTCCCTGACCTGGAGCTAACAACTGGAGAATATCCAGCAAGGGTATGTGTATTCTCCTGCACAAACTCAGCTTGAATGCCCAAGATGGAAGCCATGTGCCTCAGGAGGCCCTAGTATAACTTAAAATCCTCAGGCACCAGGGAAGAACAGACCAGTATCACAGGGTCATCAGGAGAGCAGGAAGTAGAAGGGGGTGGGGTCACTGGAGACTCCTGCATGAGAGCATCAGGCTGAACCAACTGAGGAGGAACGACCTCAGATTGTGCCTGTAATAGAGATGGTTCAGAAAGAGAAATTTTAGCCAGAATCGGCAACCTTCCCCTGGATTACTTTGAAGAACAGGATCTTGTACACCAAGGAACATCCCATGAATTCCAAGTGGGCCACTGGGAATAAGGGTCAGGGTGGCTAGTATGTACTAGGCCAGAGGCTCCATCCCTACTGCAGGAATGGTGCTGATCTCAATACTGATGGTGATCGAGGAAGATCTTGAGAACTTCCTAGAGTGGTGCTTTGAAGGAAAGGATGAAGAGGAAGACATCCCTAAACTCAAACTGAACAAGCCCTGGAAGTTGGCCGGTGGTAGTGGAGAAGCCGCCTCCGATAGGGCAAGCAAATGACCAGCCTCGTCCGAAAACCAATACAGGGATGGCATCAGTACCGATGATGAATGAGCACCGAAAGAGGCATCACGCTTCCACTATGCACTGGAGCAAACGGTAGTCCCAGAGGCCAGTACCGATCCCAAGATGAGGTCTGCAGCAATGACATCGATGCCGAAGAGACCCCCCACAGCAACAAAAAGGATGTTGAGCGCAACTCTAAACTCTGAGTGTTCGGCAGTGTGGTACATGATGCTGACGAACAAGATAACTCTGCAAACAGATGGTGCCAAGAGGACAGCAGAAGCAGCAGCTGCCATGGCAGCTGAATGCTCCTGAATTATTGGGGAATCAGAAACAGAGAGGGAGAGTAGATCTCATGCTGACTGCAAGGCCAATGGCACACAGATAGCTGGTGCTGAATTCAACTGTACGGCGTCCAACTGATCTTGGCACAGTACCAGCAAGCAGTTAGGCAACCCAGCTCCATCCGACATATGGGAGGAATCATAGTGCTGGTCATTCCCCCTCTTGGAAGATAAAGAAAAATCTCTGACCTCTGGAATGGGACCTCTTTCTCAGAGGACGAAGGGAAGCACTGGACCTCAAACCCAGAGAAGCATCTCATGTTGGCTCCAAAGTAGAGCATGGAGCTGGATGATCTGTGGATTTCCCCAGTGCCAAAGTGGGCCTCATGGACTGCTCCACCTGCATTTCCTTTTGAAACTCTTTGCAGATGGAGCACCTTTCTATAACATGCTCTTCTCCCAGGCACAACCAACAACACACGTGAGGGGTCGCTATTGGGGATATCCACCTCACATGACAGAATGTTTAAACCCCAATAAGGGCATTACTCAGGGTAACTATCTATCCTAAATAACTACTACAAACTAAACCTAGGGGTATTGCTAAACACTACTGACCAACTATCTACAATAAAATACCAGAAAGCCTGAGCTGAAGCGGTCAGGGCGGCGCAGCCATTGAATAGTCTAGGAAGGGGAGAGGACCTTAAATAGGCTAAGGGGTGAGAAGACATGAGTACCACTCCTGCTAAGCGAAGTTCTCTAGCTTTGGTGCAAGGGGCGTGTGCACACCTGAGTGGAATACATGTCTACAATCACTCAAAGAACTGCTGCTTGAACTCAAAGGCAAAATTCCTACCAAGGCGAGTCTTTACTTTGCCTTTTCAATTTCACTCAAACACAACCCTTTACCATTAACCAAGTTGTCTAACTGTAGAAAGTAGGCGAGATTGCTCTCAACAGAACCACTTTCAGCATCCATCTAAATAGATAAGGATCATGATGGAACCAACAGTCACAAAAAGGAGCGGGGGGAAAAAGAGCCCCAAGACGTTTTGCCCATACTCTTTCCACAGAGGAAGAGCCCTGAACTGAGTGTAACTTGCCTTAGTACATTTCTTGCTCAAGGTACCTCACAGCACTTTACAAACAGCAGTGTACCTTAGGCCAATGTAGAAGGCCTTGTAGATGGAGCAATACCTTTCCTTCAAAGTTTTGGACATTAGAATCTGTTTTATTAAGAGGTTAAAAATTAACATTACCAAAGATATCAAGGTTATAGTCTTATTTTTTCAAAGTGCAGTTTGAGATTGTTAATTTCCTTTACAGAAGCCATTGCAGATCAGCAGAAGGGACCTTACGTTAACATTTTGCTACTAATCTCAAATAACCTATGAAGTCAGTAAAGAAGTTTACAAAATTGTATTAAATAAATGCCAGTTGTAACAGATAGTCTGTTGTGAACAACTTGGAATGCAAAGGCCTGTGACCAAAAAGTTGCACCTTATGTTTATTTTAACCTCAGTTATGTAGTTTTCCACTGAAAGATATACACTAACTTAATATACATACACACACACACACTCTTACTTTCTTTACTTATCTTTTTTTTTTTTTAAAAGGGTTACATGATGAAGTGGACTGAACATGGGACTGGAAGCCAGAACTCCGAAGCTCTGAACTTGGCTCTAGTAACTTGCTATGAAACCCTGAGCAACACTCGGTGCCTTAATTTCCCCAGCTGTAAAATGAGGATAATACTGCTGATGTGCATAAGTGTTCTGAAGATTACCTAGTTAGTGCTTTTATATTGATAGTGCTTTACAAACACTAACATGTATACAATCAACAGATTTTACCCCACTACTGAATTAAATTCTGCATCTGTAGGATATTTTGGTTTATAAACAACTTCATATTTGGATTATCCTCTTAAATGCCGCAGCGAGAGACAGAAAACAGGCTCCTCCAAGGCAACCTGCTGAAATGTAACTGCAAATAACTGCAATGATTAGTGACCTAGAAATAGATGAGAGTTTTGAAGAAATGTTTGGATTGGAACAAAGCCCTTTTAGTTTTCTGCTTGATGCTCTTTCTAATGTTGGTAAAATTCATATAATCCAATTGTCACACATTTTTAAACGATTTTAAAATAATGATTTAGAAATATGCATTTCTTCAGCACCTGGTGATACTTTAGATACTTATAAGATTTGCCTTTACAAACATATAGTTGCGAACTGAATACTTGTAACTGTATTTAATCAGTTGATTTTAGTTCAGAAAGGGACATGGGTTTAGTAAGACAAATTGATATATTAATGCAACAGGCCCTCACTACTTTTCAATAGGGCCAATACTACAGACATTTTTCTTGTGTTACCATACCTGTCTGTTGTAATGGTAAGCATATCTGTGTCCTTGCAGTACCGCTCTCCTACAAGTTTAATGAGCTTCTTCTTTGCATGGTCATCCAAGTTCAATTTGGAAAGCTTAACCTTGAAGTACAAGAGAAAACGTCTTTAGTTCTTTTGCAGATCCTTTCCACACAAGGTTTTTAGAATTAGCTAGACAGTATCTTTTACTGAGGAATTAAAAGTCATGAACTGAGATATGTGCATTCATAGAGTTGTCTTCAAAAGCATTACTTGTCAAAAATATTTAAAATATAGACAAGGGACCATTTGAGAACAAAGTTTTGGGGTGAATTTGTCTGTCTCTCCTTTTATCCAGATGCAGAGAAAATAAACAAACAGGTATCTTTTGCAGATCACTAGGACTACTACTCAGATATTTGAAAGATGCTTGTCTTAAGTGTCTAAAAAACAGGACGACACTAAAACGGAGGTACTCCAAAATACCACAACACTTACTGGGGGATTTTTATTACCCAACTGACAAATACAAGCATGCATCAAAAATATTCATAGCTATTATGGCTAGAAGAGATCGTACTGACCATATAGGCTGCGTAACACAGGCCACAGAGTTCCCCCCCCATAGTTCCTGCATCAAGCCTATAGCCCTTAGATGCAGAGAAAATAACTTTACAACGCATAAGCAAAAGAATCCAGCTAAGAGGAAATCAACCCGAATCTACATATTATGTACAGAATCTAAGTAAGAATGATAAACTGGTACTAGTAGCTATGACAGAGGTGGGCAAACTATGGCCCACGGGACTGTCCTGCCCAGCCCCTGGCCGGGGAGGCTAGCCCCTGGACCCTCCCCCACTGTCCCTCCTCCCCCGCAGCCTCAGCGCGCCATGCCGCCAGTGCTCTGGCCCTCCGTTCCTGCTGTGCAGTGCAGGCAGCGTGGCTGGCTCCGGCCAGGCGGCAGGGCTGCGAGCTCCTGCTGCTCAGAGCAGCATGGTAAGGGGGTGGGGAGGTTGGATGGGGAGGAGGGGCACTGAGGGGATGGGGAACAGGGGCTGTTGGATAGGCGTGAGAGTCCCGGGGGGCGCTCTGGATAGGGGTTGGGGCAGTGAGGGGACAGGGAGCGGGGAGGTTGGATGGGAGTGGAGTCCCAGGGAGCGGTTAGGGGGACAGAGGGAGGTGGGAGAGGTTGGATGGGGTGGAGGTTCGGGGTGTGTGTGTCAGGGGATGGGGAAAAGGGGGCACTTAGGGGTGGGGGTCCTGGGAGGGGGCAGCCGGGGGACCAAGGAGCGGGGGGGGTTGGATGGGTCAGGGGTTCTGAGGGAGGCAGTCAGGGGGCAGGAAATGGAAGGAGGCAGATAGGGGGCAGGCCAGGCTGTTTGGGGAGGCATAGCTTCCTTACCCGGCCCTCCATACAGTTTGGAAACCACGATGTGGCCCTCGGGCCAAGCGTCCATGGCTATGACACACTTGAATTCACTTTAGCAAATAATGGATTCACGGAATGCACCTGTACAAGGATATTAGATTTCACGATGGCAAATTTTTGTTGAGGAGCAATGGGAGGACATATTAGAATCCACCAGTGTGAAAGGCAGTTGAGAAATTCTAAAAGGCATTACTGCTAACCATCAATAGACTAATTCCTCTGAAAAGGAAGACTGCACGGAACAAGCAGTAGCCTCTGTAGCTCTTTGAGGGACTGCTCAAAGACAAGAATTTGGGCTTGTCCATGAGGTGACTGTGTGCAGCAAGCTGGAGTATAAATCTATGGTGCTCTAGCCTGCTGTGCATTAATTGGCCACGTGGACCCTGCTTCTGTGCACTAAGAGTACCAGTATGTGCTCTGACAATCAAAGAAGATGCAGTGCTGGTGTAGTCATATTGGTCCCAGGATATTAGAGAGACAAGGGAGATGAGGTAATATCTTTTATTGGACCGACTTCTGTTTGTGAGAGACAGAAGCTTTCAAGCTTACACAGAGCTCTTCTTCAGGTCTGGGAAACTTACAGAGACTATAGCTACACTACAAATTACTTCTGTATAACTTACGTTGCTCGGAGGTGTGAATAATCCACACCCCAAAGCAACAAAGTTATACCAACCTAAGCGCTGGTGTGGACAGCACTATGTCGGTGGGAGAGCTTCTCCCGCCGACATAGGTACCACCTCTTGCAGAGGCAGGAGTTATGAAGCCGAGAGGAAAGCCCTCTTGTATCGGCTTAAAGCATCTTCACCAGAAGCGCTACAATGGCACAGCAGCATCGGTGCAGCTGTACCACTGTAATTGTAGACATAGCCTCAGTGTCACAGATAAATACAAGATGGAACAGATTGTTTAGTATCAGTAGTTGACACATTTTCAAGGGACCATTCAAGGCGAAGTGGCCTGTTAACACCCCCACCAGTCAAAGGAAGGTAGGGGTTTGTCAACTTGGAATATATGTCTTTAACCAACAAGAGGGAAAAAAATTGGGAAGTAGCACTAAACATGTCACAGCACTAACTTCACATAACATTTTACAAATAAATATACAAAAGCTACGTTATCTGTTCTGAAGGTCTTATGATTTAAGACAATATGGCAATGCTATTGAGGAAGATTGTTTTCCTCTAGGTCCAGACTATGTAAGAACGATTTATAGAATTTTAGCAATGTGTAGAGGAGACGGGCTTACAGAGAGAATGGATGTCTGCTAGCATGTGACATCACAATCAAAATGTTTGACAAACGACCTAAATGTGGATTACCTGTATTTTGCTGCATGTCACACCACAATTTACAGATTTTATTTTAAACTTTAAGTTCTGTTTTAAACAAGGTTCTGTCTACTAATTATATTAACCAGTTTCTTGAAAGAAAACAAAAAACACATTGTAACTTGCAACTGTAAATTCCCTCCACATGAATTTAAAACCTGGACCTTCACATCACATAGAGGTCAGCATCTGTTAAAGGTTTGTAGTGGGGCCTAGCCACTAGATGGGGACTCATCACACACAGTCTGTGGGTTACACAACTACTTAGTAGGCAAGCAGGAGAATTTTGGAGATCAGAAATATTGATTTCTCAACCTTGCTTTAGGAGAGGAGTGTGGTGCAGTGACTGGAGATAGGATAACCAAAGCACATATCTAGCACATTCAGTCCGAAAGGCAATTTGAGTGGAAGAGAGCTCTAATCTCCGTACTGCCTGCAATTTCCTTATGAACTCTCTGTACAGTTATTTGTAAGAAGGGGATCTTGACTACCTTTTAGTATCAGGATATGAGGTTTTCATAATAAGGGCTGTGTAAGTGTATGGAAATATAAAAAGCAGTCAGCAGATGTAAGATGTGAATTCTGTCTGTTGCTTACAGTTCAGTCCACATTACCCTATATAGGTACAGGCCGGAGGGGGTGGGGGGGGGGAGAAGAGAGAGGGGATGAGAATTTCCTCCTATTGAACAGGCAGCCTGATTTCACCCTAAACTCAGAATGTCGCACAAGATCCAGTACACTTGAGAGGTCTGGCTCCATGCAAGACACACATCAGTGTGTGCAAGAGTGGGTCTCGTATATCCAACACCATTTAAAATGGAACCTCTTCCGGGGAAATGCCATACCATCACAGAGCACATTAGAAAAAGGTAATGAGTAAATACCTTTGCTCTCATAAGATTTTCTGCTGGATCCTTAGGGTCTACAAAGAGCACACTGAATGAGATCTTAGAAGACAAAGTTCTAAGTAGTTTAACTTTCATTAAAGCTTCAACAACAAAAACCCTTCCATAAGCCACTATTTAAAACAGCTGAGAGAGGACATTTCTACTACCAGTTTTAAGACGTATTTTTGAATAACCGTCTTCAATTAGGTATTTTGTGGCTAAAATTTTGACAAACATTCTTTGTCAAAGACTTCTTTTAAGAATGGGTCAGTGCTGCAGAAAGCTATATGAACAGATTATGCTATGAGCTCTGCAGGGTTTCAGCGACTGTGGGGCAAACACACAACATGTTAGCATACATAGGCACTGTAAAATCATGACTATCTAAGCTTGCTTTAACATAACCTCCTGGTATATTGTGAAAACCATCAACCCAGATCTCAGGCATTAGCTCTTATTTACCAACAACGCAAAACACTTCCATTGCAACATAGCAGTACTTTTCATACTACATTAGTTGTGCGGTATCTTTATCTGTTATACTCGCATGTGCATAGTGTAATTATCCCAAACTCATGACAACACACACCTTTATAGCATTCTCATATTACTGTGTTTCATGAGCAACATTTAATGGTCTGCTCAGTTTATGTTACAGGAATTTAAAAAGATTTCATTTTTATTTCTGTGCATTCAGGGCTGCATTACTATGACAGACATTTATGCAGTTAGCTAGTTCAAGCAGGATAATAATTTCACTGTTTACAACTATCAACTAGAATGCTCCACACTGTTTTATGATAGTTAATGTTTATAACCCATAGTATCATTAACAGTCAATGATGTAAAATGACAGCGGATTATATTTTCAGTCCTATAACACCAGGTTTGGCTAACAGCAGATGAGATTCCTACTTGAGATTAGACCCAAGCAAGTGCATTGGAGGGGGAGGGAATGAAAAAATTGGGGGGACAAATTAAGATCTTAAAGAGCCTCTACACAATTATTTCCCTCAAAAGCAACACAATTTCTACACTTTTGTTTTATAAAACAAATCTAAATTTGCACATCAGCAACAGAGGTTTCCTTATTCCATAGCACAGTGGAGACTGTTGCAGCAAATACCTGCAAACTCATTGATGGAATCTCAGTCACTGTTTGACCTAATGCCATCTGCTTTCCACCTTAAAATCTCCTCCCCGCACCCCCCCACCCCAAAACACACACACACACACACGGCAGATTATGTTGTCACAGGATTAATCAGAGAACACTAAAGACAGAATTCATTAATGGGGTCTGGGGTATGATCATAAGTGCCTCGAAGGCCATATGGCTAGCTGTTTCATTTGTACTTCCTTTTTTAGGTTGAATACTAATAACGAATATCCACATGCTGCTCTATAAACACTATATCACATGTTAATATCAGAGGACACACATTTCAGCTAGATAGGACAGTGTGTGTTTCAGGG